GTAAGGACCGAACTCCTCCACCCCGATTTAGACCTGCTGGTGCTGCCCCACGACCTCCACCAAAGCCCATGTAAGGGGAGCTGGGTCTTAATGGACTGAAGAAAACTCTCTTGAGAAAGAAATAATAAAATTGAATGTTACACTTTAAAAAAAAAAAAAAAAAAAGTACTGGGAATCAAACCCAGTGCCTTAGGCAATGCTAGGCAAGCATTCTACCAATGAAATCCATCTCTAACTCTTTGGAATTTTTGAAACATATTTCAGCTTTTTTATGTATTTGGAGAGACATGGTTATATATTTGTCTACAGAAACACCATTTGTGACAGTTTATACTGAAAAATATAACGACAACCCAAAGCTAAAGGTAATACGAGCAAATAACAAAAGTAGCAATAAATCTGTATGAGCTGTAAACTTTTTTCATCATTTATGCTTCCATCTGTTCCTCTGAGAAATCAGATCAACATCAATGAAGGGCAAGTGCAGTATTATACATCCAGTCTTGACAGCCAGAATCAGCTCAAGTCATGGGTATCCAAGAGAGCTGCATGGCTGTGCACACACACATAAAAATAGCCTACCTTGAAGTAGTGAAAGAGGAATTTGCTTTCTCAGTTCTTACTAGAAATGTTACAGGATTTAAAAAACAAAAAAATCTAGATGATGTGGGAGCAAAAAGAGTACCTACCTCAGCGAGGAGCTGGCTTAAAATCCAAAAAATCACTTAAGTGCTATGTTGGCTCCACCTTTCCTAGCCTAAGCTAATGAATCTGAGGTTTCTCACCCACTCTCATTCAGCCTTATAGCAGTCACATGTGGACCTCACAGAACCCCTCACCTGATGGCAATCACAATTCCTTTCTCTCCCATTAGCTAATCTCTGTCCCACCTCCATCCTCAAGATAATATAGTAATTCCTCAGCTCAAAAGCATTTCTGTTTGCAAATAATTCAGTTCACAAACAAAAACGTTTAGCTGGACTGGGAGATAGCTCGGCAGTCTCAGTGCCTGCCTGGCCAATGCAAGGACACGGGTTCGATCCCCAGTACTACATGCTATGCCAGCCTCAGAAGCCCAGGTGCACTACGCCAGTGCGAAACTGGGTGTGGTGGCACATGCCTGTAATCCCTGCACTGGGGAGGCTGAGACAGGAGGATAAGGAGTCTGAACTTCATAGCAAGCCCCTGTATCAAACTTACTTCATACTGTCCACACTACCAGACCCATCCACCTCCACTCCAGTGAAAGAAAATAAAGCCCTTTTCTTGGATAAAGACTAAATGACTAAGCCCTCTACCTTAGTAGATGTTTGATACTTAGAAAGTTTGTATTTCTGTAGATCAAATTTAGGTGTATTTCATAGAATCCCTAAGCATTATGTCAAAATTCACAATCAGTAAATGTTCAAAAATGCTAAAGACCCTAGGCTATTTTGAGACAATTACAGAAATATGACTATCGGCTGTCTATCAAATAATTAAATCTCAGATACAATAATGATGTGGGGGCCAGGGAGATGGCCCAGTAGAATAAGCGCTTCCCTGGCAAGCACAAGGGCCTGAGTTCAATCCCCAGTTCCGCCAAAAAAAATAAAAAATAAAAATAATGGTGTGGGGTTGGCAAAATGTCTCAGCAGACTAAGTGCCTGCATAGGCAAGCACAGGGACCAGGGTTCGATCCCCAGCACCACATGCTGCATGGGCCCCACACCCGGGCACAGTGAGCCAGCCACTGAGACCAGGAGTGGTAGCAAACACCTGTCATCCTAGCACTGGGGAGGCTGAAAACAGGAGGTTCACTATGAGTCTGAGCTGCATAGTGAGGCCCTGTAACAAAAACATTTAAAAAATAATAATAATAACGGTGTGACTGAGTAAGAGAACATTCTTCTTCTAGAAAGATTAATATTGAAATGCAGAGTAAAACCTTATGAGGTCTAAAACAACTGGTATAGCAGAGTATTTAAGCACACAGAGATGAACCAGGTAAAACAAAAGATACTTGGGGGGGCCTGCCCCTTAGCTCAGTTCTTTAAGTGGCTGCTTCAACAAAGCAGTCAGACTCAGGTGGCTGTGGTTCGATCCCCACAACACAAGCCAGCCAGTCATGCCTTGAAGGTATTCGGAGCAAAAAAAAAAAAAAAAAGATACTGGAATTTAGTGTACTTTATTTTAAGGTTTGTAAGGGTTTGAAAATGTGCAAAACATGATCTTGAGTTGCTCCCCTAGAGGTAAAAAAAAAAGCTTACAGAATGTCAATAAGATTAATGTTGAGGGGGCTGGGGAGATGGCTCAGTAGAGTAAGCACTTGCCTGGCAAGTGCCAAGGGCCTGAGTTCAATCCCCGGTTCTGCAAAAAAAAAAAAAAAAAAAGATTAACGTTGAGGGCTGGAGATATAGCTCAGTGGCATACTCACCTGCCTAGCAAGTGCAAGGTCCTGAGATCAATGCCTAGTACTGGGGGGAAAAAAAAATCTCCGTTGTTTGGGGTTGGGGAGCTAGCTCAGAGGTTTAAGTGCCTGCCTGGCAAGTGCAACTTCCCAAGTTCAATCTCAGGTACCCCAAAAAAGATTAATATTGACATTTAATAAATTGAAGTTAAAAAAAAATAAATTGAAGTTGAACAAAAATATGAAATCATTAAGTACTTGACAATTCTAAGTAAATACCAATAGTTAAGTCTATCAAAGCTTGGTGTTTCTATTTTATAAAAATAAAAATTTCCATTTTAAAAGTTTAAATGTTTTTACTTTGAAGCTCAGTGAAAAGATATGAAAGCCCCTGAGATACTACATGTGTCTGAAGGTCCAAAACCAAAATGAGCTCTTCTCTATCCACTTCTACAGGGAACTGATCAAGCAAGTGCCTTCCAGGTAGAAATAACAAAGCCTACCAATGTGAACAGTCATGGAGGCTGTCATGCAGGGCTTTCCGAAGCACCGAGTCCTTGTCATAAATGCCCCAGGTAGCTTGCAGTACTGAGTCAAGTAAGCAGTCTCCTGCAGTCCGGTTCCAAAGAGCATAGAGTCGACTATCCAAACGTGTAGCCAACTCCAAGGACCAATTTATGATTGGCGATTCTTCTTCTAACTCTATGGAGAATTTAAATAAAATTTTCAGAGAAAGTTGAATAACATGTTCATCTTCATGCCTATGTAATTACAAACTAGTCAGTGAAGTGAAAAACCTGTCTTTTTTTACATGTAACTTACCTAAATTTGATATAACGAAATATAAACTTTCTAAGTACCAAACACCTCAAGGCCCTAGAACGATTTACTCAACCTTTAAATTTACAATTTTTTCTTTAAAATATCGTTCTTGAATAAAAAGCAAAGCCCCAAAGTTTTAAGAATTTTATATCGTTGTTTATTCTGTCCAAAAGTTAGGAGTCATAAATAAACTTTCTTTTTCCCACCTCCTTTTTTTTGATGTTTAGGGGTCAAACCCAGGGATTTGTGCCAGCGATGAAAAGTACTCAAACTCTGAGCTATACCCTCAGTCCTAATGATTTTACAGTAGACTATGACACTGTTCTTAAGTACTTTACATCTCTAATTTAAAATAAAAATAAGCAAGCTAACTACACTGAACTACTCTATACCTTATAAAACAAATTTTAATGATCAGATAAAGGAAAATCCCAAGCATTAATCATATGCTTACCTTTTTGAACGTCTCTATCAAGCACCTCATCAAATAATTTTTCTTGGACTGTTGGAGGCAAGTCTTCAATATCTATTTTTTAAAAAAAAAAGACTTAAAAGATGTACTATAACAACTTCCTTTCCACTGCAGAATGTCAAAGTTTTTTTTTTTTTTTTAATGTGTACATGAGTATAAGATATAAAATATTTCCTTCCTGTATTTCATTAAAAACCCACATTTGGACAAATAATTAAATATAAATTTTTATTTTTTCTCTTTTCTTTATACATATGCATATACATACATGTTTCTTTCAAACTTTACAACTGTCTTATAAAAAAAAATGTACTATGCATCGAGTCTTTTATAATCCTCCTCTGTGAAAGTACCATGAAGAAGCATTACTCTTAAAAATATCTTTTTCTCTGGTTCCGCCCAAAGAAAAAAACTCCCCCCCCCACCTCCCCCCGGGATTGAACTCAGGCCCTTGCGTTTGCCAGGGAAGCGCTTATTCCACTGAGCCATCTCCCAGCCCCGAAAAAAAACTTTTTTTTTTAAAAAAAAAAATATTTTTAGCCAGACATGGTGGCACATGACTGTAATTCCAGCACTTGGAGGCTGAGGCAGGAGGATCACTTTGAGTTCAGAGCCAGAATAGGCTAGGCTACATACTGAGTTCAAGGACAGTATAAATTACAGGGCAGGACCCTGCCTCATAAAACAACAACAAAAACTTAAAACAAAAATCTAATCATGATTTGGAGTAAGTTTAAACATAAAGAAAACGTTTCAATTTAAAATTGCTATTTCAACAGGGTTAGTTATTTTATCTAACATTTGTAACTGCCTGTTTGTATCTTAATATAAAAGATCAAAATATTCAGATTCTGGGAGGAAGCTTGATTTTAGAAACTTAGGGTGCTTTAGTATATTTATTTAGTGCCAAATGAAAAGAGGTATCCTAGAAGACAATTTCAGCTGCCAAAGAATTGAAAAATAAAAATGATTTGCAACTATAGTAGAAATAAATGGAAGGAGTGAAAAGGAATAATATGTTCAAAAGGAACGGTATCTTTAAATTGAATAACCTAACACTATACATCAAAACCCTACGTTCATAATTCTCTTACATACCAATTAACCAAGAGCTATTTCATTTCAAAATACAAACTTAAAGGGGAAAATTAAAAATAGACCAAAAAATATAGTCTAAATAACACCAGAAAGGAAAAATGAATGACAAAGCACTTTTTGGAAGATCTGAGACCCACAAATAAATCATCAACTGATAATGAAAGCAGTATTTACAAGCAGCCCTTGAACTGCTCATTTCTAGCTTAAATAGGACCATTAAAGTCATTTAAAATGCCCATAGAGTAGCTAAATTATTTTCTTATAATACCACAATTTTCATTCATAAACAAATATACACTTAAAAAAAATAGAAATTTCATTTCACATTAAATTTTGGAGTTACCTGCTGGCAAAGTAAATGTTACAAGGTCAGTTAAAAAATAGCAAGCAAAATCCCCTTTTCTCTGATGAAGAGAGGCAGCTATTTCTCTTCGAATTTGTTCTGTCAGTTCAGGACACACCATTGCTGGAATACACTTTGCTGCTTGTTGAGACACCTTAAATACAAAAGAAGCTTTGCTCTGTACCTCATTTACCATAAAGAGAAAAACATAACAGCGTTTAAAAGAAATCAGCAGAATTTCGCAATAGCTCAGTTGTTCTCTCCAATATGAAAATGTGTTGGGGACTATTTCCTCACCAGTAGAGAATATATACAACTTTTCAGAGATAAAGCCATAAAGAAGTGTTTTACCTAGATTGAGTAAAGGGGTCAAGTGGGTGGCCCACACCTGTAATCCAGCACTGGGAAGACTGAGGCACAAGGATCATGAACACAAAGTCAGGCTGGACTACATAATGAACTCAAGTCCAGCCTGAACTACAGAATTCATGTAAAAGGCTGTTCATAAAAGTATATATCACAGGATCAAGAAAGAAGACAGAAAACCTAGAAGGACTAACCATGGTGTACCCAATAAAAACATTCTTTAAAAAAAGCAAGTTAAACACTCTTCTTCTACATGTTTCAAGTACCCTTTTTTTTTTTTTTTTTTAATGTTGTTTGTACAGTGTCTACAGGGTGTTCAGGGTCTCACTATGTAGACTCCTAATGATCCTCCAGTTTTCAGCCTCCCAAGTACTGGGATTACAGACACATGCCACGACACCCAAGCTCAATCGCCATCTCAGGCTACCCTGGGGGCAGGGCCGGCACCGCACACCAGGGATTGGACTGACCCCTGCACTCTGCCTAAGCAAGCAGGCACTTGAGCTATCTGGCCAGCCCTCAAGTACTCAGACTTGAAATAAAGAAAACAAACTTCCCTCTGCCCTCACACCCATCCTGCTTCTCCCATTTGCTACTATACTTAATTTTTTAAAAGCATTTGGCATCTCCCAGTATGAACAAAGATGGAAAAACCATGGCGTCCACTGTGAAAGACACTGAAATGTAAACAGTTACAAAGGACACTACCACAGAGACCACTAAGAAAGAAAATACAACTACGGAAGACTAGAACTTTCTTCCCCTTTTTAAATGCTGAAAAGTAATAGAACATTCAAAGATTTCACCTTACATTTCAGTTGTAATCTATTTACTGACCTGAAGAGATCAACATACAGAAAATTTTGAAATAAAAGGTGAATTTCTGCTAAAAGAGCTAAGAACCTTGTGCCAACTCTGAGTGAATCAGTGAGCTCTGTTCCCAGCCTGTCACCAACCTGCTTAGAAGCAATTTGGTGACTTTCATGAAGGTAGCTTTCTAGTCACATGGGGGTCTGGAGCAGGTCTCTCAGGAACACCATTCAAAAAATGAGTTTTACTAGTAATTCAGCTATATAGTATTTTGGACAACTAACTATAATTATATTAAGTAAAGAGAGTTTCAAAATCCATGCAGAACAGAGAAAGCTCCTATATAAAAATTCATTTCTGGGGCTAGGGAGATGGCTCAGTAGAATAAGCGCTTCCCTGGCAAGTTCAAGGGCCTGAGTTCAATCCCCAGTTCTGCAAATAAAAATAAATAAATAAATAAATAAAATTTTTGAAAATTCATTTGTATTAAGACTATATTGGCTAACATTGCTAAAATAGATACCAGAAATGATTTTTTAGAAAATAGCCTTTTCCAATCTGCTATCCCTCAGACTCTTTCTAAAAATAGTAAAACTGGGCCAGCGATACTAAGCGCCTGCTTTGGCAAGTACAGGGACCACAGTTCAATCCCTTGGTCCTGCCCCAAAGTGTGCTAGCAAACCAGAGTCAGGGTGTGGTGGTGCACGCCTCTAATCCCAGCACTGAGGAGGCTGTAAACAGGTGGATCACCACAAATCTGATCTACACAGTGAGACCCTGTACCAAATACACAAATGAAAAATAAACAAATAAAAATAAAAACAGTAAAACTTCCAAAAACAATCAAGTTCCAGCCTGCACTACACAGTAAGACCTTGCCTCAGCATACAACACACACTCCAAAAAAAAAAAAAACTGTACTAGACCCTGAATACTGCAAAAATTCCAAGAAAAGCATGTCCTCAAAATTTTCACACTTTCACCACTTTATGTAGGACATGTCCCTAAAGCCTGCTTGTTATCTTCTTGCCTCTTCAATATTAAGACTTCCCATATCTTAATGCTTGCTAGTAGTTTTCAACTTAGGGTCCATAAACTTGAGAAGGCTCCATGAACTTAAATGAGAATTTTACTTTAATCAAATTTAAATCCTTCTATTTCACTAACTTCTAGCCCATAATAAAATTATTTTCTTATAAATTACAAATCTGGCTTAGTATTTTGATAATTACATTTCAATTTAACTGATTTCATTTGTAATCATACTTAATTTAGAAAGTTTTTTGAGTGCCCAGGTCCCACTAGACTACCAATAAGTCCTTGACATAAAACACAACAAAAAGTCTAGATACATATCCCAAAATCAATATTCTCCTGTTCTCATTCCAAAAGAACCTGGGGGCCCAGCCCTAGCTCAGTTCTTTAAGTGGCTGCTTCCACAATGCTGGCAGCCTCAGCTTGCTGTAGTTCGATCCCCACAACACTCCAGCCATGCAAAAGTTCCTTGAAGGCATTCAAGGAGCAAAACACACACACAAAAAAAAAAAAAATTCCTTATTCCAAAAGAACCTGGTTTTTGTGCTTTCTCTAAAGACACATATCAAAGCCTTATCCACATAGCCCCTCAATTATCCCCTTAATACTACCCTCTGAAGTAACTACACCACTATGTTCCATTACCAATTTTATTTCTGATCTAGAACAAACCCCTTCTAGCCCTTCCGTACCAGGATTAGTTTATGTGTCCACAGAATTTGGGAGGTGTTTGCTGGTTCCTAAAATGGTTCCTAAAAGACACTGCATGATCCACTTGGATCACTCACTCACACTCTTTCCCTCTCCTGAATCATCTGGTCTGGGTAAAACCAGATGCCACATGAGTCAATACTGTGCAAGAGCCCACATGGCAAGGAATTAAAGCCTCCTGCCAAGAACCATATGAATGATCTTGGGAACAGATCCTCTAACCCAGCTGAGCTGCTTTACCAGATCACTGAACAAAAACTTAACAGCAACTTTGTGATAAATACAGCTGAAAATATTTAGCCTAAGCCGCTACTGGATCCCTGACTCTTGCAAACTGAAATAACAAATATTTATTATTTTAAACAATTAACTTTTCAGGTAATTTGTGACAACAGTAAATACTAAATATACTAGTATTCTATTACCATGCTACTGCTAGTTCGCAGATTTTCTTTAAAAAGTCCAGAGACTTAGGAAAGCTTGTTCTAAAATGCTGTTCTCTATCAGCTTGAGGGTAACCTGTGAATACCCTAAAAACTTTAACCAGGGTTCATAGCTGCCTTTTCTATCTTGTCTCCTGCTAGCACCAGCAAATACACCACAATAACATCCCTTCCAATTCACAACACAATTGATATCACAGCATAAATGCACCCAGGCCTCAAACACTACACTAACCGCATCTAACTATTCCATCCAGTGTTCTTCCTTCTAATTATATGGTTCCTTTTCAATAGTGTTCTCCCTTTTTATATATTTCCATTATATTCATTTTGTAATGACAAACTCTGAGTCTAACTTTGTGTTTTTACTGTAATTCCCTTATTTAAAAAAAATGCCTGGATAATAAAAACATTCTGAATATTTCAATCTTTATCATTTGCACTGTCTCAATTACTTTCTCATTGCTGGGACAAATACCTGACATTCAAAATGAAGGAAGGAAAGGTTTATTTCGCTCACAGTTACTGGAGATTTCAGTCCACACTCGGCTGGCTCCAAGGCAGACTGGCCCATGGCAGAGAGCAACCTTTCACGATGCAGCGAAAAACAGAGAGCAAAGCAAGTGGCAGCAGCTCAGGCAGCTAGCCAGCCTCTCTACCCTCCTTACAATGTAATGCAAATTACCTGCCCCAGGGCAGTGCAGCATCCATACCCACAATAATCAATCACAAACTCCAGAGCTGCCCCATGACTGCACCAGGCTTTGGGGGAACACCTAGACACAAACAGTAACAGTCATCTAAACCCAAAACTTCAGTTTAGTCCATGTTCTTATCACTACTCCCACACCTAATGTACCTACTTCTTAAGACCAAGTACATCTCCCTACTAAGCCTGCTTCTTTCCATTTTTACAGTCACTCTGCTATTGTCAGAGTTCTGGCCAGTCTCAATGCAACAGCCTCCTAACTAGGCTTACCCCCACTCCAATGCAGCCAAAACACAATTTGTTCTTGTCAATCCATTGCTCTTGTCCTTGCTCATCTTTCAGTGCCCTCAAGATTATCTCAAATTTCTTTAAAAGAAACAGCATCAGAATAATCTTCCCCTTTTACTGTACTCAGCATAACTTTTAAGAAGCCTTCTCTCTCTCTCTCTCTCTCTCTCTCTCTCTCTCTCTCTCAAATAAATAAAAAACAATTTAAAAAAAAAAAAAAAGCCTTGATATAGGAAATCCTTCATAATCCTGCCAGTTTTCTCACACTTCCCTTCTCTCAGTCCCCAATCACTACTCAAATCTTTCTGAATTTTATACAAGTGAATTCACCACAAATACATACCATGACCTATGGCCTCTGCATAAATGGTTTCCTCACCTCTTCTCCCTTAATTCACTTCACATGGCTTAATTCCTAGTTCTCCTCCAGATTTAGCAAAAATAGAACCCGCTCTAAGTATGAAGGGAGGACACCTGCAAACACCCATTAAGTACTCACACAACACTAGGCATTTCATCACTGCATAAGCTGTAGAGTTACCCATTCATTTTCTACTTCCATGGAAATTTAATAAGGGAAGACTCAATGTCTTCATAATTTTACCCTCAGCATAGTAGCTGGCATACAGCACAGTCAATAAGTATATCCCAGTACCTTTTAAACGTAATTGAAGTAATGTTTAATTAAAATATTGTGACTAAGATCCCTGACTCTTGCAAACTGAAATAACAAATA